CTTTGGTGTGAGGAATGCTGACAGGCAAAGATGGCCCTCGAGCTGTGATGTGAGAACATCAGAGCTGTCAAGCTTGGGCCTGCCTTGCAACACTGCCCCAGGAATAAGCCTGGGCGGATGGAAGCCATTTCCCACAGGGTTTTTTCCTGGCACTAAATCAAGGCATGAGAAAAAGACCTTGCAGCCTTTTCTTGGCCCCATGCAGCAGCTACAAAAGGCTATTCTGGGGACCTGCTTTGTCTAAAAGTGTTTGAAGTTACCTAGCCTGGCTGCTTCAGCTCCTCTTAACTGTGTAATAATAGTTCTGCTTCTTTTCAAAAATCACAGAATTTTCCTAATGGGCCTAAAAGGACACATCAGTCAATCTCCCCTGCCCCTTCCTCCCAACAAGCATCTATAACACCTTTGACAAATAATCACCCAGCATACTTTTCAGTACATCCAAGGACAAGTAGCTGCCTCCCTCCCAAAATGGCTCATTCCAGAAGCAGCTTCAGAGAGGCAGCCCCCAAGAGGCAGTGTGATGTGGTGGAAAGAGTATGAACTTTGGAGGCTAGAAGCCCCAACTCCAAATCTTGATTTGGAATCATACCAGCTGTGTGGTGTTAGTGCAACTTAACCTTGCTGAGTCTTTGGTTTCTAAGCCTTAAAAATGGATATGATAATATGGACTTGTCGTGAGGAATGGGTGAAATGTGACATGCGTAGTGGATGGTACATAACAGGTGCTCAATGAACTTTAGTCCCCTTTCCCTCCTACTGCACTTTCTGGTAGCACCCATCATGCTGGTGTACTTACCCAAATGCCAAGACACAGGTCAGATGGTGGCATCTCCATTTCCCAGATAAGAATAAGAGTCAGAGAGGTGACACAGCAACCTGTACTGGTCCCACAAAGCCAAAAGAAAGGGCAACTTCTGACACCTAACTAACTAGCCGCCTCCCTCTTTGGATTAGCTGAGGGCCTGTGGTTGGCAGCCACCTTCACACTAGAAGACCCCTCCCACTTTTAGCTCTCAAGGCCCAAACTCACGGCCATCCATGCTCTGGTGACAGATCTGACTCAGATCTGCACCAGAGTTGGGGACAGCTCAATTTCTTTCTTTCTTTCTTTTTCTTTTTTTTTTTTCTTGAGACAGGGTCTTGCTCTGTAGCCCAGGCTGGATAGAGTGCAGTGGCATTATCATAGCTCACTGCAGCCTCACACTCTTGGGCTCAAGCAATTCTCTCACCTCATCCTCCTGAGTAGATGGGACAACAGGCACATGCCACTATGCCTGACTAGTGTATTTATTTATTTATTTATTTTTGTAGAAACGGAGTCTCACCATCTTGCCCAGGCTGATCTCAAACTCAATTTCTATTAAACAACCCATGCTTCTTACTCCTTCCTGTCCACCTGCCCTCCAGAGCAGATGAGAGACGGTGCTACCAACTGTTCGGATTGAGGGTTGGGGAACAAGAGGAATAGGAAAGGGAAAGCTGAACAGGTGGGGTGTATGTCATGGGAGGGAAAGAAGGAGGGTTGTCAAGAGGAAAGATGAAAGGTCACAAAGGATGAGATAGGAGAGTTAGAGGTAAGAAGTCTTGGTCGCCTATTCCCAGCGGATATGGTGAGGAAGTGAAAGACACTGGAACTCATCCTTATGCTGGCACAGGAGTCTGGGCCCCAAGGTGGGCACTCACTGGCTCTGTTCTCCCATCAGATCAAACCTAGCACATATGGACAGGCCTCAAGCCCAGATTTATCTCAAATCAAACCATTTCAAGGTCTTCCTTCTGGAACCATCCATTTTTACGGTTGGCGAAACTACTTGGAAAAGAAAGTATAAGCAGGCTTGTTGGCTCTCCTCATCCCTCCACCTGCCTGTGCTCACACTCCACCCCCTAGCCCACCCACCCACCCTCCCCCGTCCTGGTTATTTTGGTCCCAGCAGCCTCCTGTGCCAGTGCTGGGATCCAGAAGGCCTGAAAGCTGTGAGTTCTGGACCCAGCTCAGCCACCAGCCCTGAAGGCAGCCCCCGTAGCTGGGTCCCCTCTGTATCTCTGTGTTCCCACTGCCAAATGGCATGATAGTTCTGTGCCTGGGAAGAACTGGGCTGTAGTCACCACAAAGACTGAAATGATGGCTTCCCCCAGAGTAGAGCAGAAATTTTATGAATGTTCAGCACAGGCACCTCAAAACAATCTTGGGCTTTCGTGGAAGTAGCTGCCCCCTGTCTTTCTTTGCTCCTAGAAGGCCAACAGGTGAGGAAGCATGCTCTATTCCCTGAGCCACTACAGAAGAGCTATGGATTAAGGACCCGAGAGGCAGACCAGAGACTGCCACTCAGTAGTAGGAAGATACTGGGCAAGCCACTTAATCCCATCTGAGTCTCGGTTTCATCATCTGAGAAATGGAGATAACAATGCTATACATGCAGGCCCAAGCACGTAGACACTACCGATTGTGGAAGCTAAGCCATTCAGAGTCAAAGGCCAGGATAGGGAGGAAGTGGAAGGAAACGCAGTAGGAGCCAGTCTCAAGGCCAAATAAAGTGGTAAGAACTGCCACCAGGAGCTGAGTACTTCTAGGGCCAGATATCAGGGAGTGGTCCTTGTGCACACTAGTTAAAGTGTAGTCCTCAGCCAGGTGCAGTGGCTCACACCTGTAATCCCAGCACTTTGGGAGGCCGAGGTGGGTGGGTCACTTGAGGTCAAGAGTTCAAGACCCGCCTGGTCAACATGGTAAAACACCGTCTCTATTAAAAATACAAAAATTAGCTGGTGGCACGCACCTGTAATCCCAGCTACTCGGGAGGTTGAGGCAAGAGAATCACTTGAACCTGGGAGGTAGAGGTTGCAGTAAGAAGAGATTGCGCCACTACACTCCAGCTTGGGTGATAGAGTGAGACTCTGTCTAAAAAAAAAAAAAAAAGCCTGCCTCTCCCACCCAACTTCCCTCTGCTCTGAGCCATCGGCAGGCTGGAGAACAGGCTGGTGAGGTCAAACATAATAGGCAGGAGGACGAGGCTTAGTCTCCTGCTGGGCTGGCTGGCAACAAGTTCAATATTACTGCAATTGGTTGGTGAGACCTCTGGAGAGCAGAGTCCTTGGGTGACATGTAAGCAGGACTGGGGTCCAGGCAGAGGACGGTCATAGCATGGTTGTACCTCATGGGGCTACATGGAGGAATGGCCAGCACCCAGCCCTGCCTGGCACAGAGCAGGTGTATTACCTGGATGCCACAACTCTGTGAGCATATGGACAGCATGATGGATGAGGATGATGAGGGTAAGGGGGGATGTGGCCAATAAAATACAGCATGTCCGCTTAATTTGCATTTCAGATAGCCAATAGCAAATTTTCTCAGTGTATCTCATACAGTATCTGGGACATAATTATACTAAAAAATTATGAGTTGTTTATCTGAAATTTTAATTTAGTGGAAGGGTCTGTATTTTTATTTGCTAAATCTGGCAACTTTTGGGGCTGGAGTTTGGGGCCCGGCAACCTTTGGGGTGGGAGGTCTTTGGGTAGAGCCCAACCTGCCTGCCAAGGCCCACTCACCGGAGAAGAACTGGCTGATGGAGGTGGGCAGGAGCGTGAGGAAGGCCAGGGGGTGGGCGAAGGAGATGGAAAGGACCGCGGAGATGTAGGCCACGCCGGCCACCATGGAGTAGAGGCAGGCTAGGGAGGTGTAGAGGCAGAACAAGACGAAGTTGCGCATGTTCCTGCTGCCGATGCAGTTGCCGGTGAAGAAACAGTGATGGTCGTGCCTCAGGGTGACTCTGGCGCACACACGGCAGAAGTGGGTGCTAGGTGAGGGGCACGGAACCTTCCTGGTCGAGGCCCCCTGGCAGGCGCCCAGGTCGTCTGGGGAGTTCTGGATGACCAGGACGTAATTGCCCAGGGCGTTGGCCGAGAGGAATAGGAAGAGCGCCCCGTGGAGCAGGGCCGGCGAGAAGAGCCGGGCGGCCGCGGGGTCCTCGCGCATGCTGGGCAGGAAGAGGAAGAGCTGCAGCACGAAGGTCACCAGGGAGATGCACAAGAAGTAGGCGGGGGCCACCACGTTGAGCAGCCGCAGGGCCAGCATCCTCGATTACATTCCTGCGGGACCAGGGGTGAGAAGAGGACTGACTGACTGCGGCGTCCAGGGGGCGCCCTCGCGCGCTCCTCCGTGCCGCGCCTCTGGGGCTCTGCACGCGACTCCACGCCCCCAAACCCCTGTCCCGCCGATTTCCCCTCCCCAGTTCCCTAACCCCGGACTAGGCAGGCCAGAGACCCCGAGCCCGCAGCGGCCTCCGGTCTAGGCCCTACCTAGGGGTGAGTGTTGCCTGGGGTTTTGAGCGAGCTGGGCGCCTTGGCGCGGTCGAGTCAGGCACAGCAATACAAGTTGTGAGGGTGGGGGGCGCTGGGGGATAGGACTCCTCCCCTCTGTGGCTGTGGAAACAAGCCCAGGTTTGGGATTTCTGATTCAGACCTCCCTAGGAGGAGAAAGGGAAGGATTTGGGGTCGGGGGCAGAGGTATCAGCGGCATTTGAGCTGCTGGAAATCCTGCTTCACACTTCCCTTTCTCCTTCCCTGCGCCCCCACCCACACACACATCTTGGGCAGCACTCAGGGACCTCACCGGTTACCCAAGGCTCTTTGGAGGTATGTGTGCGTGCGGGACCACGATGTGTGTGTGTGTCCTTGTCTGTGACTCTGTACGTGTAATCTGTGTGCGCTTGAGTATCTGTATTTGTGTATGTATGTATCTGCATGTACAGACACGCAGCCTCTGCCACCTAGCTTAAAAAAATCAATTAAAACAATCGATACACTCACACTCGCTCTCGGGCACCGGGTGGGGTGGGGATGCAGCCAGAATACCTGTGTCAGCGGGTCCTGGCCAGCACATCTCTCCAACGCTGGCTGCCCGGGCTATTTCTTTGCAAAGAGCGTTTTCATTTGAGGCGAAATTAAAATCCCCTCTTCGCGCCCGCCTCCCGCCCTCCTGGTGAGAGAAACCCAAACAACCCTCATGGCGCCGAAATCCTTTCCATGCTGACAAGCCCGCCCTGGGCACACGAGTGGATGCTTGGCCGGCCTTTCCTGGGATCGACCCCGCCGCCGTGCGCAGCCCTCACAGCGTCCCCATCCCACTCCACGCCTCACAGCCGGGATTCCTGGCCAGCTTCGGAAGCCACCGAGAAATAGGATTCCGTGCGCCCGAGAGAACTTTTCCAGGGGCTAAGGAATTGGCCAGCCGGAGGCGCGAGAAAAGTTCTGGGAAGGCGGTTGCACCTAGGATGGGCGGATGCCACGGGGCCTCTGTCCAGGCTGTCCCGTCAGGACAGGGCGACTGGTCACCTTGGAATCCCCTTTGCAGGTCCCAGCGCCCCCCGGGAACCCGCAGCCTCCGCGGAGAGCGTGGGCCTCTCCCTGCCGCTGGGGCGCAGCGCAGTGCACGCCAGAAGGTGGTCGCGGGGGGCTGGGCACCGCCCCCAGTCATGCGCCGCCGGGGGCTGCGGCGGCGCTGCCCGCCCCAGAGAGCCCTTGGCCTGGGGCTCCGGCGAAGCAAGTGCCTTCCCCGCGCCGGTCGCCAGGGGGGCGCGGGAGCAGCCAGATGCGCCGCAGCGCTGGGAAGGCGGCGAAGGACAGGGGCTAGGGGAGTGAGGGGCGCTCGGTGGGCAGTCTCAGCCCGGGCCCTGCGCGGGAGAAGGGACAGCAGAGACCGCCCGTGGGGCCCCGGGGCTCAGGGAGCTGTCCGTTGAGCACTGGCGCCCGCCTCGCCCGCGGCAGAGGGCGGCACAGCCAGAGCCTTAGAAAGACCGGCAGCGCCGGCGGCCGCGGGCTTCTCGGCCACTACCTCCCGGACGCAAGGGAAGCCGCCCCCCGCGCCTCCGCCGCCGCACTGCCGCCGCTGCAGAGGGGTGAGGAAATGAACTCACCGAGCTCTGGTCGCCGAGAAGAGGAGCACCGGACGCCGGCTCTCGCCCTGCCCGAGGCTGCAAAGTTGTGGACTCGGCCCGGCTGGCTCGCAGCCTGCGCTTCGCTTCGGGAACTGGGCAGGTAGCGGGGATGTGGGGAAGAGGGAGCGGGCAGCTGCTGTTTTCCCACTTGGGCGCCAGCGAGTAGGGGCAAGGAAGCGGCGGGGACGGCAACTGGGCACCCCCCAGCCCCGCCACCCCTCCCTCCGTTCCTGGGGGCGGTGCTCTGGCCGCCAGTCTCAGCATTGTGGACTTGCCCCCTCCTCCCCCCTCGATTCCCCTTGAGCGGGCTGGGGCGCTCTGCCTGGTTTCAGCTGCCCGTTCCAGCTGGGAGATTGAGATTCAGCCCTGATGTGGATTCTCCAGCCATTATCCTGCCTTTCCCTCTCGGCTATGTCCCACGACCTCCCTGCTCTCCACTCGGACTGAAGGAACCCTGGGGCTTTGAGAGGTCGGCTTGCCAGGGCAACACCCGTGAAGACCAGCGTCATCTCCTCGAAAGGGCTGTGTACAGAGGATTGGGAGTTGGGACTCTGGAGCCTGTCTACCTGGGTTTAAATATTCACCATTCACTACTGTGAGATCTCAGATTCCAGTTTCTTCATCTGTAAATTCCAGTGTAATCTTAGATTCCAGTTTCCTCATCTGTAAAACAGAGATGTGAGGGTTAAATGAAAATCTATGTAAAACCCTTAAACAGGGCCTGCCCAGGGCAAGCACTGCTTGATTAGATCATAATTAGAGACACTACTTATCGCGCCCCTGCTAGGTAGCAGGCACTGCACTAAGCCTTTAGCATAAGACGCTTCCTTAATCCTCTCAGCCTGATCTACGAAGCTGGCTGAGCCCCATTCTGGGGATGAGGAGGTTGAGGCTTAGAGAAGCTAAGTCGCATATCTAAGGTCATACAGCCTTTAAGTGACAGAGCCTGGACTTGAACTTTGTTCTAGCGTTAATGCTCCTGCCCTCGGCCTCCACACAACCCAGCATCACCATGGGACCCATGGGCAGCTCTGATTTGGGAGAAGGAAAGACAATGGGAGTTTATCCAGACACAGAGCTTGAACTTGGAGCTGCTTCTTCAGGCCCCACCCCCACCTTCCTATTTCTATTTCCTTCCCCTTCCAGGGCTCCGCTATTCTAAGGTGGGTACCATGATGCACCAAGAGGGTAGTCACACCAGTGTGTATCAAATAGTGGGGGGCGGGGGGAGCAGAGCCTTAAAAACATCAAACACTGCAGGAATATTGGTGCCATCACCATCCTCAATTTCCTGGGTGTCATAGCTCACCTACCTGCCCTGTTCCTCTCCTCTAGGTGATGGCATACTTAATAAATAAATATTTATTGCTTTCTCAACTGGCTGATTAAAACAAGAGCAATCCCTTGAAATGAGGGCCATATGCTAGTCAGCTCAGCCTTTATTCTCGAATAACCAGACACTGTTCCTCTGTAATTGATCAGCATACATCAAAATAAAAAAGAGGCCAGCAAACCTTTTCGCGTTCTAAAAGCATCTGCCATGTAAGTGAAAGGACAGTATGCCACATGGTGGCCGTGAGCAGCTGGTAGCCCTGTGAGTTCCAGTGGCCACAGGACAGACATGGGGAGGCACACATGGCCCTTTTTCCTTCAGAGCAGCTTTGTCTCATAATTGTGGCTGTCTGGGCCCCTTTTCACAAGCTCTGTCTGCCTCTCACATGGGCTTGGCAGGGAGGGAGCCTGGGGTGCCTGGGTTTGGCTATACTGACTGAAGATCTCCATTCCCCAAATACCTTGTGAGTCGGGTGGTATTTCTAATTTTATTTTGCATATGGGTGTGAGGTGGGAAGGTGTGTGTCTGAATTTGTGTGTATGAGGAAAAGGAAAGAGAGAAAGAAGCTAAGCGAACGTGGGAAGATGTTAGTGGGGGAAGGGAGTATTCAGTCAGGAAAAGGAGATCTGGTCGTGGAAACACAAACGGACAAGGACGATTATTTATTTAGAAATATCATTTATCAGCAGAAAAGGACATTAAAGCTTCAGATCTAAAGCTAGTGGTTCCTCAGCTCCCCTTAAGGAATGGAGTGAAGGGAAGCAAATGTCATTTTGTTTTTCTAAAACATATGCTTATCCCTGACAAAATCAATAGGGAGGCAAAATCAATATGAAAACTTCACTTGGATTCTGGCCCCATGAGAGTCAAGCAGACTAAGAATGAGCATTTTATTGCCATTTACCAGCTGTGTGACCATGAGCAAGTCATTTAACCTCTCAGCTCTCAGTATTCTCCTCCATATAATGGGAATAAGAATGCTGCTGTTACTTTGTGGTGATGATGATCAAATGGGATGATGTAATTTAAGTGCCTTAGCGTCTCCCACATCCTCTTTAGGGCTCCTCTTTTCATCCACAGAACTCTGTTCTCTTTCCAACTAAAATGAGAGCTCCTTGCCTATGTTGGAAATGTTTTGGGGTTTCTTCCATATTTCCTAATAGGATGATTTGCCCAGAGTCGACACTGAGTAAAAGTCTCTTAATCAATGAATTGCTACTGGTCTGTCTCTGAAAGGAAGAGCTACATTCTGAGGTCTTTGAAATGTCTGGTGAGGACCAGATGCAGTGGCTCACACCTGTAATCCCAGCACTCCGGGAGGCTGAGGCACGCGGATCACTTGAGGTCAGGAGTTTGAGACCAGCCTGGCCAATATGGGGAAACCCCATCCCTACTAAAAATATAAAAATTAGCCAGGCGTGGTGGCCGGTGCCTATAGTCCCAGCTACTCAAGAGGCTGAGGCAGGAGAATCTCTTGAACCCAGGAGGCAGAGGTTACTATGAGCCAAGACCACTCCATTGCACTCCAGCTTGGGTAACAGAGCAAGACTCTGTCTCAAAAAGAAATGTCTGGTGAGGACACATTTGCCATTGATCTTGCAACCTGCCACCACCCACCCTGAGTCTAATCTCATCCTCCATAAACAATGACAGAAATAATTTATAAACCATACTCTCCATTGTTCTTGTTGTAGATTCCTATAGTTAAGCCATGACTGTACCTTCAGGCAGTCCCATGGGGGCAGGGACACAGATAAGCATCTAATTGCTGTCCAGCCCTTTCCTGGAGATATGCACCCTCAATCTTGCTATTTGGTGGTGTTATTTGAATAAAATGAGTTCCCTTTCAAGTGGAAATTATTCCACTTTGCCTCAGAGTGTTGTATTACAAGGAGAGAAATCCATGTAACCAGCAGCTTCTGCCTTGAGTGAGTAACCCCGCCTCCATGTCTGTCAGGCCTATAATGCCCCAAATGTTTTGGAAGGAGACTATTCCAAGATGCAAGGAGCTGCACCTAAGAAGGCTGGTGGGGGTTTTCTTCATTCTCATGCTCTTATTTCAGATAGATCAAGGTGAAGATAGGCTTGGGTCAGGATGCTCTTTAGTGCTGACAGCAGGTCATAGCCAGGGATAAACTCAGAGTGCTTCCCAAGCCTCAGAAGGCTTACAAAGATGCCATCCCTGCCTGCCCAGATTTGGAAAACATGCAAGTGTAATCTTCATTTTAGCCAACTAAATACATGAAAATTGGATTATCACAGAATTTCTATTTGGAGGTAGTAATTTATTTTGCTAACTATGTCTTCATTTTAACAACGATAACATTAGTTTGATGTTTTGAATAAAGTGCTTTGCAGGCTACAAAGTACATCCACAAAATTAAAATTTCACCCCATGAATCTCTCTCAACAGCATAAACTAGCTGGGGCAAGAATTATCAAACCCATTTTCCTTATGGGGAAACTGAGGTTCAGAGATTTGCTGCATGTTAATTTGCAAGGCTTGACTATGTTTGATTTGAAATATGACTTAATATGCAAAACAAATCTCATTGATATCTAACTTTTCTGGAACATGTCAGTTGCATAAAGGAAGCAGGTATGTAACATACTTCTCCAGAGTAACAGACCTAAAGGATCTCCCTTTACCTAAAACTGCTGTGTTCTGCACTCTGCGTCTCCGTCTACTCTGCTTTGTCTTCAACAACATTTATCACCACTTGACAGGTATATATTTGTCTGTTTACTGTCTGTCTCTCCCCACTGAATTCTCAACTCCAAGACAGCAGGATTTGAACTGCTTTATTCACTGCTGTATCCCCAGTGCCTATAACAGAGTCTGGCACATAGTAGGTGCTCAGTAAACATTGGTTCAATGAATAAATATAATATTCATAAACTTGTAAGCCTGCAGCACATTAATCAAATGCCCTCAGGCACTCTGCTGTTTGTTGTGCTGGAGGGGGTGTGTGTGATTAGGGGCAGGGATGCTCAGCCTCCAAGCTCACATGTCAAGGTAGAAACTACAGGTCTGGGTGACAGGTAAACCCAGTGGTCTCCCGGGTGATTGGTGCATCAGGGTGGAAATCTTGGCTTAGCTTGAGAGAACCTCTTTTGCAGTATCCAGGCTGTGGAAGAATGAACGAATGGGCTCTTTCACCAATTAGCCATGGTTTCCAGGGACCGCTTAGGCAGTCCTGGTAGGGACGCCTGTGCCTGTGGACAAGCAAGTGAGTATGCAGCCCCATGGAAGCGGTGGCAGCAAGATTAACTGGTCCTTTCATCTCAGAGTGTGCAGGAGGCAGAGGGAGGAGAAACGGGGGGCATAGGGAGGAAGAAGAGGAGGGAGGGAGAGGGCAGAGAGGAGAAGACAGAAAAGGAGAGAGGAAGGAAAAGAAAGGGGGGTAGTGAGAGAGTGCTCACTTATCTGTCTGACACACCAAGTTTATGTCTTCATGATGGAGGAGGCTCAGGAGAAGCAGGGTGAAATCAGCTGTCTCCATTGAGAGCCCTGCAATGCCAGGTGTCCAGGATGGGAAGGAATGAGGCAGAAGGTTGACATCTCAATTACAGGAGGAGGGGAGTGAGACCAGGGGAGTGAGGTCCCCGCAGTGCCCTTGGCTGTTTGGAGGCCTCTTAGATATGTTGTTACCGTCACAGAGCAGCAGGCAGCACAAACCTCACACTCCTGACCCCCCCTCTTTCTCCCTCCCCCTACCCCAGCAGAGATGGCCCAGGCCCCAGGAGAGAGGCAGTGTGGTGTGACCAAAAAAAAATCACAAGTTTTTGGTGTCTGTTGACCTGAGCTTGTATCCCAGCTTTGCCATTCACTGGCTATGTGACCTTGAGCAAGTTCCTTAGCTTCTCTGACTCTCAGATTTGCTCTTTCTGCAGAGGAGATTCAGGTTTCTCCTGAATTTCCTGGAAGTCACACACTTTACATGCACTTACCTCTCTCATTGGCCAGAACTTGGTCACATGGCCATACCTAGCTACTGGTCAGTATGTAACCAGCTAAGATTTGTGAGTTGTATTGAGAAAGAAGAAGAGGGAAATGGATTTGGAGAATGACTTGTAGCTTTTTCTTCTACTGTGAAAAAGTTTAGACCTGCAGTTTAGCCATTCCCTGGGCCTCAGGACTGAAGATGGATTTTTCTGGGACTTCTAGCCTCTGAGATTCCAGTTTGTCATTGGTCAAATGGGGCTATTGCCCACTGCCCTTTTCTGCCCTCCATCTGATCTCTGCCTTCCTCTTGGCACGTCTCCTCCTCCTCACAGAGCAGGTGCAGGAAAGGCAGCTGCAGCCTGCCAAAGCCTTGGCCCTCAGATGAACATGGACAGTGAGGCCTGGAGGTGGCTACGGTCAGTGTCGCAGGCCATCTGGCTGCTTCCATAAGCTCAAAATCTGGCTCCAGATGAAAGAGAAGGGGAGACAGAAAAGATGCACTTTAAATATTTTTTACTCTTAAAAACCATATGGGTAATATGTTTTGTAAGAAAATATAATTTTTTTTAATTAAAAGCAAAACAAAACCTTTCCATCTTAAGCCCTGAGCTAATTATCGTGAACATCTTGTATGTGTCTCGCAATCTTTCATCTACTCAGGTTTGTTTCCCCTTGATTACAAATCTGGGCTCACATCTTCATTATCTTTTATGACCAGCTTTTAAAATTCAGCATTAACAAGACAATCCTTCCGTGTTGATAAATACATTTCCCCAACATAATTTTTAATGGACAGCGAATATGTCCCTCTTACAGAAGTGACACAATTTAATAGGGGTGCACCAAAATTTGGCTTTGATCTTAGTATCAAATTTTGCTTTAGAGCTCCATCTTCAACTTTGGCCCCTGAAAGGCTGAACTGACAAGTTCAGACTTGAGCATCATTTCTGGGTTTCCTAGACTGGGGCATGATCCGCTATCCCGTGGCTGTGTTACATGGACTTTGCATGCAATAAGCATAACAACCTGTTATACTGGCATATCATTTGGATGTACTGTAATAAACACTTTCAAATATGGATGACCTTCTATGTGTAA